GCGGAGGAAGGGAGGGCCGGGCCGCCGGCCGAGGGGCGCGCTGCGGGCCGGCTCACCGAGCCGAGGGGGAGGGCGCAGCTCCTTTCCCAGGGCTGGGGGCGAGGAAGGCGCTCCCGGCAAAGTGCGCAGCCCTCGGGCTTCCCGCAGAGGAGGCGGCCGCGGAAGGCACCCGGCGCCTCCCGAAGTGGGAGCGAGAGGGTCCACCTGAGAGGGGCGGCAGCTAGTGCTGAGCCGCGCACAGGTCGCGAGCGGGGTGGTCCTGTCGGGCGGGGAAGCCTGAGTGAGGGGAAGGGGAGGGCTTGTGGCTTTCTGAGCTGACGGGCATTAATTGGCCAGGTGTCATCTCATTGAGGCGCAGGAGAGATGAGGGCAAAGCTTCACTGAGGGTCTTGGAGAGGAAGCCACCGGACTTGACCGAGGTTGGGATCAGGATTCTCTCAGAATAAATCTCAGACAGCTCCATGGCAGACACAAGAGAGACTTCTAAAGGTGTCTCTTAGGAGGGCCAGGAAAAAGAGCTTTCCTACATATCTGCTGCCCCTTGCCTCTCTTTGTAGGAGGTTTGCATATGCAGTAACTGGACTGTCCTTCCCGACCCATATGCGTACTAGTTCTGTATATTTGCTGTCTATGGGCTTACGGTGATTTCGCATTTGTATTTACTTAAGCAAACACTTTTTTTTTTTGGTCTTTTTTGAGACAGGTTCTCATTATGCAGTTAAGGCTGTCCTTGAGCTCACTTGGTGGCAGAGGCTGGCCTCAGAACTCTAAAGATCCTCCTGTCTCAGCGTCCTGAGTGCTGGGATTACACGCATGCGCCACCATGCCTGGTGTAGCAAACTCTTTTTGTTCGGTGGTGCTGGGTATCGAACACAGGACCTTATACTGTACCAGTGAGCTACACCCCTAGCCCTTTCAGCAAACATATTAAATATTTAATTTTTCGGATTCTTCTGGTTAGTTTGGGCCCTGTTTTGCTCTCCTGAATTTGCTTCCCCAGATACTTACAGCACAATAGGTGCTTCTCTGTTACTTGTCCAGAGATGTTTCCCTCATGGTGGTCGGTTCTGTGTAATCTGCCTTTTGGCCTCGTGATATCTGGTAGCGCTCCAGGTCACCTGCGAAATGTATCAGGAAGAATGAAGAAGAATGTAAAGAGTTTTAGTCTTAATAAAGTTTCAATTTAGAATTTTTTTTTTTTTTTTTTTTTGTACCGGGAATCAAACTCAGGTCCTTGTGCTTGCCATGTCTGCGCTTATGCCACTGAACTATATCCCCGGCCCTAGAAATTTCTTAATATGCTATAAAGTTTAAAAGTTAACAAGAGATGCTAGGCTTGGTGGTGCACGCCTGTAATCCCAGCACTGACAGACTGAGACTGGAGGATCACCGAGAGTTCAAGGCCAGCCTGAGCCATACAGCAAGACCATGTCTCAAAAAAAGAAAAGTTACACTATGTGTGGAATAAATATATTCTGGGGTTAGAAAATTTCACAATATCTGCTGTGTTTCAAACGCCAATATTCCTACAATCATGTGATGCTTGTGCTTTCTTGCTATATTTTAGACATGGGTTTTCAGGAGACACAAAAATGAATTTAGTTCAGACAAGATCAGATAGCATTCATTTAGTTTTCTTTTTTTTTCTTTTGGTTTTTCTCCGGTACCGGGAACCGAACTCACGACCTTGCGCTTGCCAGGCAGGCGCTTTTGCCGCTGAGCTAAATCCCCAGCCCCTTCATTTAGT